TCCAGCTTTACAAGGATGCTAAAGTATGGGTCCATTTGTCAGTAAATACTTACCAAGTATTTACCACATACCAAGGCCTGGGGATAGGGGCAGCGAGATACACACAATCTGGATCCTTACAGAGCACAGTGGGGAAGGTGGTTTATAGAGCCAGTTGTGGTTTGATGCACTGGGTAGGAAGCCACATCATGGAGGTGCCCCCCACTCATGTTGGGGTGAAATCCTGAGCTTCCAGGGGAGTGTAGAAGGGGAAAAGTTTGGCTGTTCTTTATGCTTTTCTACAGTAGTGTGTTTTGCTAGTTGCCTATGAGTATGGGTCTTCTGGGTCTTTCCTTTACTCCAGCTAGAAAATTCATGAACATTTTTGTTGCTAGGTGTCTTCCTGGCTTGATCCAGTCCCTGCACAATGGAGCCCAGATGTGCTGGACCTCCAGGGTGGCAGGTGCCATCTCTCTCTGTGTTTCCTTCTTCCCTTGGAGTACCCCCTCTCCTTATGAGGCCCCTTTGTGTGTATTGGGGTATTGTGTTGCTGTCTCATGCTGTCATGGGCAAGGAAGGAGTTTGAAAGAGAGAGAAGTAGTCCAGGGGAACTTTGATGCTGCTGCCATGGAGGAGGGAGCTCCAGTGGCCATCAAGAGCCCAGTGCAGGACTGGCTACATAATTCACCAGGCCTGGTGCAAAATATAAATGTGGGTCCACTTGTTCAAAAGGTATTAAGACTTGCAAGACAATGCCAGCAGAGCTCTCAATCATGTGCAGGTCCATGTAACCACATGGGTCACAGGCCCAGGAGGCTGGCCTGGGGTCCCTGTCCTGCCCTCTAGGTCCTCACCTCGGTCTTGTGTCCCAAGCTCTCTGTCTTGCCCTATGCCAGGATTTCCAGAAACTAGCTGGGCATCAGTGTCTCTCAGTGGGTGTAAAAACAAAACCTATACACAGATGAGCACAAGAGGATTCCACAGGTCTTTAGAGGGGCCAGGAGGACAGTTTAAATTTGCCCAGACCCAGAGGTTAAGAATTGCATGGGAACAGGCCACCTCTGACTCCAGAGACTGGGACAACCTCCACTTGACAAGACTATGCGGTCTGGGCCTCCTCTCACTTGAGAACTCTCTAGAGAATCTTCTCCCTGAAGCCTCCCCACAGCCCAGAGCCCCTCCACACCTTCTACTCAGGGGGGCCACCCTGGCTTCATATCGGCATCCTCTGGGGGGCTTTGAAAACCACTCCTGCCTGGGCCACTGCAGAGATTCTGAAGATGTGGGTCTGGGCTGTGGCCTGGACACCAGGCTTTTTCAATGCTCTGCTGCCTGATTTGCTACCTCCAGCCTCGTGGTGCTCCTTGCCATGTATGCTCAGGCCACACTAAGTGAGTCTCTTTCTCCAATATTATGGTGGATCCTCATGACTCAGACTGAGAGCCACCCCCCATCCCTGTGTCTGAACCATCCCTGGCCCCACCAGGGAGCTGGCAGAGGGGTGGAGCCTCACCCCACTGAAACCTGCCTGTTTTTCTTTCTCCCTATTCCAGTGAGCACTGCCTTGCCCGCCAGCACGCGCTTTCTCGATGTCTCTGCTTCTCTGCCTGCTTTGCCTCTTATCTCAGATGTCTACCTGCTTGGGGCTTCCTGCGTGCCAGACTAGTGGGATCTCCTTTTCTATTTGCACCACCTGCCTGCCTGCCTGCCACAGCTGCTGCTGTCACCACCTCCCCACCCTTTCCACCTTCTATCCCGCCCCAGGGAGCCCACGACCCATTCCATACCTGTGCACACAGCACGCCTGCTGCCTCTCACCTGTAGCCACATCTTTCTGCCAGGCCAGCACTACCTGCATCCGCAGTGCCTGACCGAGAGCAGTGTGATTGGAGCGGCTGCTGACAACCCCGCTGATTTACTTTTCCTTTCTAGGGTGAAGGCACTCACTCAGCGGCCTTCCGGGGCCAGTGCAAAATCCTGCTTGTATGCTCGGCCTACTAAGCCGGAGGTGTCTGGTTAGTGGTTTCATTTTCTTCATCTAGTCTCCTTTGGGGTGCAGTGCTGGCCCTCAACAACATTGACAAACAAACTGTGCTATTCATGCTCCTCCTGCCTCTAGGCACCCAGTGCTTCTCACTGCCCCCCTGTCGGGCTCCCTGCCCCTTATCAAAACCCACCTGGGGACTGAGGATGGGGACTGAGGGCTTATTCTCTGGGAGTGACTCTGATTGGAAATAGGTGGCGACCTGGGAAACAGACACCATATTTGTTTTCATCACTGGCAGCACATTAAAATCATCCTAGGAGCTTTGAAAAAATACCTGTGCCTAGGCCCACTGCTGACTTAATTGGTCTGGGGTAGGGCAGCGCATCACAATCAGGTGATTCTAATTTAGCCAGTACTAAGGACCTATGCAATGATCTCGTAGTCTGGACCTTGAACCAGCAGCATCTTGTAACCCAAGAGTTTGTTAGAAACTCAGATTCTTGGCTTCACCCAGATCTATTGAATCTAAATCTTTGGATTGAGGCCCAGAGAATCTGTTTTAATAAATCCTGCAGATGATTCTTCTATGCACAAGAATTTGCAACCAGTGCATTACAACGTGCAATGAAGGGGAGGAGTGATTGGAGGCAGCATCCCATTTCTAAGACTATGCAAGTGGCTCTCAAAATGTGGGCCCCCAGACCCACAGCATCAGCATCATCTGAGAATTTGTTAGAAATGCAAAGTCTCAGGCCCTGTCCCAGACCTACTGAATTAAACTCTGTGAATGGGACTCAGTAATCTGTATTAAATAAGGTCTCTAGGTGATTCTGATACACACTCGAGTTTGAGAATGACTGACCTACCATCTACCTGCCTCACCTGAGACGGTTACATGGTTTGGGGCTCCAAGCTGTAGAAGCTCTCTAAGGAAAGGATGGTTGCAAAAGACTGTTTGCAGAGGCTTGAAGTTATTGCCAATAAAATGATGAATGCTTAGGGCTAGATGGCGTGCACTGTTCTGAGGAGTTCTTTTCCTGAACACCATTCATGCGTGTTGGGAGAAGACTACAGGCAGTAAATTTTGGAGGCAAGCTTCAGTCAGCTGGCCTGCCTGTAATTCTGTTTGTCTATTGTAAGTATGTAGTTGTGTGTGTGAAACAGATTTCAGATTCCAGCCAGAATGAGTGAATGGACTCTGTAGAGGGAGAGAGAGTGGGGATGGGAGTGAATTTCAGTCCATTACTCAATCGTCTATTTCTCAGGGCTACTATGTGCCACGACTGGGCTAGTTCTATGAAGGAGAGAGACAACAAAAACAACTGTATGTGTGCATGTGCATGTATGTATATATGTATATGTATGTAGCACACACTCTGCCCCACCCATTTTTAATTTTTTTCTGACAGAGTCGAGTTAACCACATGACTTAATCGCTGGCATATGATCTTCATTGGACCATGCAAGGCCCCTCTCTTGAATGTATGAAGGTGGGTATGTCCTTTTATTTTCATACCTCACTCTATTTTCCCTCTTGTATTCCAATGCACCTTTTTTGTTTGTATATGTGCTTGTAAAACATGTATTGTGTGCATGCTCAGATTTGTAGAGTTGGCTGATTTCTGTGGTGTAAATACTCCCACCGTGGCCAATTTCAAGCTATCAGTGTGGCGTCACTGGATGTCATTTGGAGAAATGTTCTCACTTGCACAATTGGCTCTCAGGAGCTGGTGGAGCTGGCTCCAGCTCTCCACCATCAAAGCTTGATTGAAGTGCTGAACTAGACTGACTCCTTTCGTATCCTGTAGACATCATACATATTCATAAGACAAATTCTTTTCCCCAATCTATTTCCACCTTGCTTAGTATCCTGGGCCAACTCAGCTTGCTTAATTGGCGAGGATACTGAAATACTTAGAACAGCTCAAGGGTTTTATTAGTGGTCAATAATCAGAACGGCATGCATGCAGAGGGTTTCCTGCTATTAATAAAACCAGATTATAACACTTTGGTGGAAAATGCATGAAAACTGGTACTTTAATAGTTCTGTCATCACTTAGAGGCTCTGGGGCAGCTGAGTGAGCTGTGAGCATAAACAGCCTTCTGGTGAAATTGCTGGGTGCTTAATCCTCAGAGAGCAGTAATTACATGGTCATTAAAATAAAGCCTGAGACCTTCTTGTCCTCAAGGTGTGATGACAAACTCAGAGGTAACCTCTGGAGTGTGACTCGTTCATCTTTCCTACGTGGAGGATTTGTTTCCATGGAGAAGGGCTCCATTTTCATGGTGAAGTCACCATGGACTAGATATGACCTGGGGGAGGAATATACAGCCTTGTGGTCTTGGGCTGGTAAAAGATGGCTGGGATTATGGGACCGACTGAGAAAAAATAAACATAGAAGCCAGCTTTTTCTGAAGGGTGGATTTTGATAAAATGTAACTTCTTCTTTAAAGGTACATTTATAGCAAGTCTGTCCCATCCACCTGGCTTCCTCCCCCAACCCTCTCTCATGTTCTCAATCCAGCATGCCAAACTGGAAGTGTGTGTGCGTGTGTGCGTGCGTGTGTGTGTGTGTGTGTGTGTGTGTGTGTGTGTGGAGGGGGGTGGTGGTCCCACTGCAGTACTATGAGAGGTTCATCCCCCTCCTCTGGGGAAGCGGTGGAAAGGCTGGGCCACGTGGCATCCCTCACAGGGGTTTTGTGGTTTAGGAGCTCAATGCTGTAACCGGGGTTACTAAATAACAAGAGTTACTGGCCATTCAAGAGTGGCTCAATTTGTAATTTTGGGGTACAAGGCTAAAAGATGATCCCCTAAAAAGTGAAATGGGTTATTAACAATTTGTGCTTCAACAGAAAACAATGTCCATGGTCAGTTCTGTATAATTCCCTCCACAAGCAAATCAAACCCTCTTCTGATAATTTTTAACCCATTCTCATCTCTTTTGAGACACAGGTTTGACTGTGAAAAATCCATCAAGTGGGCAATGTGTGAACCTGCGGGTCAGGCCCATTTTAAGAAAGCCCTGAGATCAACTTGCAAACTTAAACAGTTTAATGAGAGTATGATCATGAATGTTACAGAAGGAAACATACTTGTTTACAATATGATTTGAATGTTGATAAAGATCAGGTTTCATCTTAGGACATTTCTAGATATATTTCTGTTATGTACAGGAAGGCATATTGGCATTTCAGTGAATTTAGATTCCTAACCCCAGGTCTGGAGAGCATCTTCCTATGATCCAAGGATAAACCTCCATAGAATATTAACATCTTCCTGCCTCTTCTCTGGGTAACCCTTCCATCTTTCACTTAACTCAAAGTATTACTCATTGATCATCCTGATTTTTATCAGTTTGTAGGAGGTAAAGAAGAATCAACACTTCTGAGGTGGAAAGGACTTTTGATCTCTTCCTGTCATGAAACCAATTAAGAAATAGAGGCTGAGCCAAGAAGGACTTGCCCACCATGGTGGGAGCTCATTAGTGGCAGAGCTGGGGTGAGCCAGCCCTCTTGTCTTCCAGGCTGATGCACATTTCTTGGTACTGTGCTTTGCTACATTCAATGATTGAATTGGGTGACCACATCACCAATCTCTGTCCCCTTCTTGGTGACTACTCTTTAAAGATGTGGCATATTTTGCAGAAGAGGGTAAGTTCCCTTTAAAGGGAGCTCTTTGGGAGAAAGCTACAGATATAAAGTCTAAACTAATTATATCTTTCATAAGAGTTCAGAGATCCCTGAATGGTGACTACACACGTATTTCCCTTAGCTTGGGGGATAGTCATAGGACAGACAAAAGGGAAGGTTAAGTGGTCTTTAGCTTGGGGACCTGGATGGCCTACCAAAGGCTGAATTTATAGTGACATGTTTTGGAAAGGGCAACTTAGGAGACATCGTAGACCTGGTACTTTGTTATGGTTGATGCCCTTCTGTTTCTCTCCTGGGACAGGTAGTAAATGCGATTGGCCTCTGGGTAGGTGACTTTGCTCAGTGGCAGTTTGTAGATGGCAGGATTGTTGGTCGTCAGGAGCAGGAAGGTGAGCGCTGAGAGGCAGAAGGGCCAGGTGCAGGGTGGTAATCCAAACTGGGACAGAGGAACACAAGAGAAACATTGGTTACATCAGATGCTTGTGCTTGTTTAGTGAGCCCTTATCAATAACCTGCAGCTCTGGGTAGAGGAGGGGATGCTTTGTGAGCATTGATAAGAATACTTAATTGAAGACCAATATAAATAAAATCATGCCAGTGGTATCAGTCTGCCTTTTGTAGAAGACATGCTTTGTCTTGGGGTCTCTGGCCCGGCTATACTTTCACCTCTAAGAATTATGGCCATTCCATGCCTTCTCCCATCAGCCCCTGTTGAAGGAATGTCTTTGGCAGCCATTTTGTAGCTCAAGACCTTTTTCTCTTTGGTCATAGCTGATTGGACTAGAGACAGACACCTGACTCAAATGCATCTTCCCATAGGCAGGTCACATGGGCCAATAGGATCCCTTTCTTGAGAATTTGAAGTAAGAGGTACAGAGACTGTCCATAGGGCTCTTGAACTAAAGAGCTGGAGAACGAATTAGTGATGAGTGGCCATTTGAAGGCTGTGTGTGCAGCAGACAAAACCCATCACGGAGAGACACAGGGAAAGAGAGAGGACATGGAGAGATAGAGCTGTGGCATCCTCATCCCGGGGAGCTGGAGGGGAGACTAGGTGCCTCTCTTCTCAAGGGCCCTCTCACCCCCAGCTCCCTTTCTCATGATGTTGCCCTGTGTTTTATTCCTTGAGATGCCTTGAGGCTTTTTAATACTCCTCATTAGAGATAGCTTGAGCAGATAGTTTGTTAACAAAGAGTCTACCAACTTAATCATGAGGCAGATTAAATTATGCCCCTCTTCCCCAAATATCATTTTATTATAAACAGTAAAAACCTCAGGTAATGCCATGGGAGTAACAATGCCAGTCATGTGTGTGTCCAAAGATGGCACTGTTGGGTGGGACTTGGGGAAGAACGGCGATCACCTGGTACCAGAACTGAGGCCGTAAGGGGTACCCATGAGTGATAAATTCCACTCAAAGAGTCACTCCAAAGCCCTGCTAAGGCTGCACAAGGTACGTTGGGAAGTGCCCCTTGGAGTCCTGCAGTGAAAAGGACATGGTTGTGGCATTTCTCAGACCCAGCTCCAAATCTCAGCTCCTATCACCTTGTTACGGTCATTTAATCTTTCTGAGACCCATTTCCTCAATAGTAAAAGACGGTTAACAATTCCTGCTCAGAAAGTTGGTGCCTAGTACATGCTAAGTACTCAATAAATGGTCCTAAGTATGTGATCATGATCGTTAAGCCAATGGAGGCATTTCTGGAGACATGGGGCTTCATATACATGTGCCAGTTGGAAAACAAAAAAGTATAACTCATAAGTGCTCTTCTGAGGGCTTGAATGGTCTCATAAGTGTCATTCAACATTTTTATATCCTGTTCCTCAACGAGATTGGAGATTTCTTCAGTGTGAGTTAACCTGCACTGTTTTTTTTTCTTCCCCTCTGACAGTGGTCAGCAAAGCGTCATACACATAGTAAGCACACAAAAAGTAAACTTGATTTTGTTTTGAAAAATGTCTGTTGACCAGAAAAAAATGTCTGTCTGTTATACTATTGAGTGGTATAGTTTGTAACTTCTCTGCAAACAGAGGAAGGCCAATGACCACCAGAAACACCTGTGATCAGGAACCAATGCCTCCCAGTTTGCATCTCTTCCAGTGCCTTATCCAAGGAGGGCACATGCTACGTATTGATTGGATAAACACTGGGTGAATGGAAGAATGCAGAAAGAGATGTTAAAGCCTGGAGTGGACAGAGTTCAGAGGCCACACTCCATCCTCTTGTCCCCCCTCAGTGTTTCTGGTGGTCTAATATTTCCTACTGTGGAGGCTCACTGCCTTAGCGATCCATTCATTCAGTATTTCTTGAGAACCGATTATGTGCTGGGCACTGTAATAGGTACTAGAGATAAAGATAAGAACATGATAGGGCCCCTCTTCTGAAGGATCCCACAGGCTGAAAGTGAAAGAGGACTGACGGGCACTAGGCTTGCCACAAAATTGTATATCAACTGTTGTAGCCAAGGTGTGTAAAAGATGCGATGGGGCCCAGCGGAGGGACTTAGTCCATTGGAGGAGACAGGAAAGTATTAGGGAAGGCTCCTTAGAAAATATCTCTGTATGCTAAGTCCAAACCACCCATTTTCACTAGCAGTGAGGGAGGGATATAGGCAGGTGTCCGTAGAATGCACAACCATCCACCCGCAGCATCACCAGGACTTTTCCTGGTGGACCAAGTGAGATGTGCCCTGCACCCTCATCTAAGAGGGGAGGCATCAACTGCAAGCTGAGCCCTGAGAATCTGTGCTGGGGCCTGGGCCAGCCCTGTGCCCCCCCCTCGCCCTTCCCCCCCCCTGCTGGGCCCAGACGAAGTTGGCGTTCTCTCTCGGACTGCTGCACCTGCCCAAGCTACCAGCTCTGTGTCTCTCTTCTTGACTAGGGAGTGACTCCCCTTCTTCCCTGAAGCCTTAGCTAGTGACACCCCCCACCAAGTGTGCAACTTGCTACAGGACAAACAAAATGTACCCTGGCTCTCAAGCTAGTTGGGCAGACGATCTATAAACACAAGTTAAATAATAAAGACTTAAAAATAGTTCTATAGGGTTATATAATAGAAAGGAGTTTGATTTATGAGATAATGCTCTTCGAATTGTCTTTCTCTAAGGAGCTCCTGGCCCACTGACAATGGGATTTAATTGACAACACTTGACATTTAAACTTGTGAGACCGAGCTCCTTCTGTCTAGTAGGTGCCAAGGTGAGTAGTGTGATTTGAAATAAGAGGGGTGAATTGGGGAAGGGTTCCTGGAAGAGGGGTTTTGAGCAGGCTTTGGGAAGCCAAGAGAATACCAGGAAGGTGTTGTGGGCACGTTCTTAGCCTAGGTTGACTCACCACAGATAACATGTTAGCCAGGGCAGCACCCAGGTAGGCCGCAAACAGTGCTGGAGAAAGAAGCAACAAGAAATGGTCCAGTAACTATTGGACAGTGACCCAAACTTAGTCTACATATTCCCTCCACATAAATTTTATGCCGCAAATACTCTCAGATTTAAAAAAATTGAGTTATGATTCCAGTGCTCGGCAGCTTTAAAAGTGTTAAAAGCCATGCAAATGCTGGCACAGCTAAGACAGCAGATGAACTTTGTTAAAAAGGGCCAGAATTTAGCTGTTATGGTTCTCTTGGGTCCTACCACCTTGCATTCCAGTAAAGGGACATTTAAAAGCATAAACCATAAATGGAAATTTTACCGTACAGCAAAGGCAAGTGAATCCCAGAACTCTCTACTGGAATATTTCATCACAAGTTATTATTAACATAATATGGGTTCCTAGGGAGAAGCAGCATTCTGTAAGCCTGAGGAAGACCAGATATGCCTTCTGCCTGGTTCTCTAGGCTCTGCAGAGGGCGCGACCCGGCCGGGCACTGGGAGGAACTGAGTGCCAGCAAGAAGTGAGAAGCTGTTAAAATGGACCAGTGTAATTGGGCTTTGCTTCTGAACCCTTAATTTTTCAACTGAGAGCATCCCAATTTTCCTAGGATATAGCAGTAGCTAACCATTATGAGATAGTTGCTGCTTGCCCAGCTCATAGTAATACTGACTATACCCTCCAGCATTCCTACAGTGTAAGCACTATGATTGTCTTCATTTCACAAGTGAGAAAGCTGAGGCTCAGAAAGGTTAAATGATGACCGTTCTGCCTGTCTTTCAGTAGGAGAAGCCCCCGTAGTTTTAGAGGTAGGGGTTCAAAGTGGAAGCGTAGAGATTAAGGAAGGCGTTACGTGAAGTGGGGCTGTGGGGCAGGAAATGGCTTCAAGGGGTTGCAGCAGACAGAGCATTTCTCCGAGAGGGGATAGCCGCCCATGCCGTCCTTTGTGTCAGCTGAATCCTCATGCGGTAATATATGTTGTTTATACAGAAGAGGGGCCCTGTGTGCTCGGCACTCACGTTCACAAATTGTCTTATCCGATCCCAACAACAGCTCTGGGAGGTGGGCACTGTTGGTATCAGGTGCTGAGGGTTCAAGTGACTTGTCCAGGAATACATGCTAACACGTGGCAAAGCCAGGCCACCTCACTCCAGAAGAGGGCTCTTAGCTGCTGAGTGCTGCAGCCTCTTGGGTCTGAGGTTAGGAAGAGGGGGAATATGGAGGGCAAACCCAAGCTCCAGAGAACAGGGAGCCAGAGACCTGAGTGGGACAGGCCAGAGTGGAGACCCCAACTCCATCTGTCTTCCCTGGGATCCAGAGTCAAAGGAGTTATTCTCACTCTCCCCTCTCCCACTGTTATCTTATCTACTTTGGTCTGTTATGAGCAGGCAAACCTTCTGAATACCTCGTGTGTGCTCATGTGTGGTTGAAGGGCCTGCAGAGTGGGGATCCAGGAGGAAGAACAGAAGGAAGAGAAGGGAACGGGACATACAGCCTGTCTGGCTTAAAGCGAGAGTTGTCTGTCCTAGGTTGTGTGGAGCAGGCTGTGGTGGAAGGAACCTTCCAGGAGGGATGCTGGCCACCTCACCTGTCCTGTTCACCACGGGCTGTGTGATTAAGGAAAAAAAGCCTAACTGCTCTCAGCCTTGGTTTTCTCACCTGCAGAGAAAGCACTGGCTCAGGAAGCACTGCAGTGTCCTGCAAAGAGCATGGACTTCTATGGTCAAGCAGACCTGACTCTGGGCAATTTATTCAGGTTTTAGCCTCAATTCTCCACCTGTGAAATGGTGATAGTAATAGTATCCACACACTTTACAGGGTTGTAGTGAGGCGTAAATGAGATGACGTGTGTCGAGGTTTCACAACCTTGGCACCATTGACATTTTGGATTGGGCAGTTCTTTGTTGTGGGCTCTGTCCTGCTCATTGTTGGATGTTTAACAACATCCCTGGCTTCTACCTACTAGGTGCCAGTAGCACTCTGCCCTTCTGCCTCTAGATGTGACAAACAAGAAAGTCATCAGAGATTGTCAAATGTCCCTGGGGAAGGGGAAAATCACTCCTGGTTGAGAACGAGTGGGGTAACATCTGATATAATTTGAGCATTTAAGACTTGTTTATTGAACATGAACATTCCTTAGTGGACAAGCAGAACTTGGGGCTGTAAAGTCATTTCCCAGCTGGTACCCCAGATGTCTTTGGCCTCTGCCACTCTGGACAGAAGTTACAGCTCCAGGCATTGGACATAGTCCTTCCCTTCAGGTGACCTCCAGGCCCTGATTCTGGGTGGAGTTTGGGGGCTGCTGAGAGAGCAGGTGAGCTTACAGCAGGCACCGTCATGGCCCTGAATCCTTCTAAAATCTTCAGGACTCCTTGGCTTTTCATCTCTGGTGCTCAGACTTTCTTTTTTTCTTTTTTTTTATAAGTCCAAAATAAATTCAATAATATAAATCATGAGAGATTTTGAAGATATGTGTAAAAGTTTAAATTTTTTGTCACTGGGACATTTTTAGGGAAGGAAATAACAAGGCATGGGTCTGAGTTTCAGGTCATGGAATAAATGCTGGCCTATTTAAAAATTAAATTTAATTTAAATTAAAATATTCACTGTGACAATCATTTAATATTCACTGTGACAATAAATTAAAATAATCACTGTGACAGGCCCCACACTCAAGTAAGCTGACCACATGTTCCAGATTTTCTGGGATAGCCTCAGCTTAAAATCTTC